CAAACATACATTAAATAATAAAATTGATTTTTTAAATACTGATAATTGCAGCAAGCAAGAGATCGAAAAAATTGAAAAACCCATATATGCGAACATAGCATTGAAAGGGTTGAAAAGCATATGCATGCATGAAAATATGGCGAATCGTCTGATTTATAAATTTTGATCACCACGGTTGAAAAATTACCTCAACGACGATTTCATAGAGGAAGGTTCTAAAGAAAGAGAAGCATGTCCACGTTCGTGCGATCGATCGACTTCGGAGCCGTTCGACTACCACTTTGTTTTTATAATGAATTATTTAAAGGGTTGCGGTACTTCGCGGCGACTTTGGAGGAATGAAAAACAGCCGCATTGAATAAGCAATGCCACCAGAGTATTTTGATACCTACGCAGATGGTGAACATAGACCCGTCAAAAATTGCGATTTCGCGATATGGAACGGAAATAAATTGAAAAGAAAGTTTAGATTGAAACAAAAAATTGATTTGATCTACGAGGCATGTGTGCACGAGGGAATAGTTTATGTGTCTTTCTTTGTAAAGTAAAAGAACTGAACAGAAAATAATATTAAAGTTATTTTATCCATAATTCTGATACAAAATAAAATGTGTCCAAGTGCCACGCGGAAAGGAAACGTGCAACCATTTTTTTTTTTATTATAGAAGCTCTAAAACCCGATTAATCCAAGACAAACCTTCCCCTGACAATTATAGTTTAAATCTATCTTTTATCTAATTTTTTATATCAATTTAAAGAATGTTCGTTCGACGAATCGTAACGACGTTCTCCATTTTGCTAAACCAAACACGAAACAAGAAAGAAACGCTTTCGGAACACCGACGTGCCCGTTCGACGGATCGCATACAATGGCAGCCGTGCATCGACGGTATTAGCATACCATCGCGGCGGCTTTCAGCGCGGACGATAAAGTATTCAGCGGTGAGCGACGCACTCGCGTCGCAACAAAAGCTCTACACGGCTCGTAACGCTAAACGCGATAGAGTGAAAATCCAGGCGTGAGAAAAGGGTGTAAAAATAGAGGCAACAGTGGTTGGCTGTCACGAGACGACCGGGAGGCTTTTCTATCGAGATTCCCAGAGGTATCCGAGCAACACCTTCGGCACGCTTTGTCGCGCACACGAACCGGTAGAATCGACGAACAATGAGACACGCGAGATATTTGCTTCCCGGTCGAAAGATTGCCGCCAGAGACCCCGAACGCGTTCATTCATACGGTACAAAGAATTTCGATTCACCTGTCGCGACGGCGAACTGCTGCACGAGTTCTATTCTCGGGGCAGAGAGAACCTTTCTGTCTTGTCATCGAAATATTTGTCTTCGGGGACTGGATCAAACATATCGCGGGCGCCGTCTAAATCTGGCTTTGGCTGGATGATTCCCCAATATCGCGTGCAAAGCACCCGGGCAAAACAATATACAGTTACTTGTATTCGTACGATATAATGGTGATTCCTTATAAACGATGAAAGAACTTGTTTCTTACGAATTATTTTTGAAACTGATGTAAGTCCATTTTGTCATATACTGGGATATTTAAACCCTTGACGTACAATTTTATTCGAAATAATTTTCGGGATGAGATACACTCCTTCGAAGTGGGACAAAATGTTAAGAAGATCATCAAATTGTTAAGGGATTTGTATAAGACTTTAATGTTCGACTTCGTAATGGTTTGGTCATTGGTTATTTGGCGATCAACAATGGTTGGATTATGGTCATAGATGGTCAACAATGAGGTTGACATCAAGGTCATCCAATGAAGACCAAGGAAATGCCAAGAGGTAGGACAAATGAAATACATTTAAAAAAGGAAGAAGTTGTAGTCGGTTGAAAATTGGAATTTTATGAGGTATTCCTCACTTTTCGAGTTTAAAGAACAATTTTTCCAACATTCTTAAAATTTCTACATATTCCTCGCCAAAATACCCGTTATTCGCATTTCGAAATATTAAAATCTTCCAATCTGTTCACGAATTATGATTTTTTAAACATACGCATGAAATTTCAGTGAAACATGTCAACGATGGTCAGACATTACATATTCGGTAAGGAATTTTGTTTCTCGAAAGTGCGTAGGAATTTGGGGGTATGTCTGTTCACCAAAAATTATTCTAATTAACCCCCGCAACGAAAAATAATTTTTTTAAAATAATTTGAAATTTTTTAGTTTCGTCGAAAAATTTCAGCACTTACGAATTTTTTTCTCGAAAGTACGTAGGATTTCGAAGGTATGTCTATTGACCAAAAATGATTGTAATTGACCGCTGAACCAAAAATAATTTTTTCAAAACGATTTGAAATTTTTTTTTTCGTCGAAAAATTTAGGTACTACCCCCGTCGGTTTTTCTTCAAAATCCGTTTTTAATTTTTAATAAATTTGTTTCACACTCTACAGAAAAGTTGTCTAATACTTTTTCGTAGGTGCCCATGAGCTCTATTTCGGAAAAAAGTTTCAATGAAATATATTCACCATTGTAGGAGTTATGGCTGTTTGAAAATTGCACCATTTTTATGGGGTTTTTCTCATTTTGCGGGGTCAAGGAACAACTTTTCGAATATTTTGGCGATTTCCGTATATTCTTCACTTAAATACGCGTTGTATGCATTTTGAAACTTTAGAATTGCCCAATCCGTTCAGAAGTTATGACGTTTTAAAGATATGCATGCCATTTCGAGGAAACATTTCTGCCTGAAATTATATTTTCGGCAAGGAATTTTTTTCTCGAAAATGCGTAGGATTTCGAGGGTATGTCTACTGACCGAAAATGATTGTAATCAACCCCCGCAACTGAAAATAATTTTTTCAGAACAATTTTAAATTTTTTTTCCCCTGAAAAATTGAGACACTTACGAATTTTTTCCCCGAAAGTGTGTAGGATTTCGAGGGTATGTCTATTCACCAAAAATGATTATAATTGACCCTTTCAACTGAAAATAATTTTTCTAGAACGATTTGAGGGGGGAGGGGGCGCAGTTTCCTTCGAATACCGGTTCGCCGTCTGATAATACAGAATTGCCTTCTTCAATCCCTCCCATAGTAAACTCACATGTATTTACACACACACTACAGCTGTCTACCCATCAATACTAATTTAGTGAATAGTTTGACAACTGACCGAGGGCGTTAAAATCATCTCCGAATTTTCAGGTCGGTATGGCAGTCAGATTGGGCCACGAAAATCCATAAAGTGTATACCACGTCTGTGCTTATGCTCTCCCAAATACATTCTCTGCTTCTTTTCTTCAATATTTTTACAATAGATGCAACTGTGATTTAAACAATTTTGAACGCATCGATGTGATAATTTCGAGAATCATTGAATCTACTTTAGGACGTATTTCCGATCGTAAATTTTAGAAATTGATTCTCTTAGCGTCGACAGAAGTTTGTGGAAAGTGGTAGAATTTTATAGTGTATCTGATTACAACGTACTTTCCAAACTCCGTAAAATATTTCATCGATTAACGATAAATTAACAGAATCGTTATAGATAGCTGATTACGAACTTGCCTTATTAGTAGGTAACCGATAAAACGAGATTCTCTCTAAAACAGTTTTTTAAAACTTTTGGCTTACGTAGAAGTAACTTGCTCAAATATAATCATAATATTCCTATCTAATTTGATTAAAACGATTACAGTTTTATGAATCTCGTTCAAGCAATTCTTAAAATACAGAGGCAAAATGAAAGAAAACACCAACAAATAAAGCTACAATATACCTATAACAATTCCTTGAATCTCTCTCAAATCCCTTATCGAATGACGATTACGAGTTTGAAAAAAAGAATAAGAATAGCTGCAAGCATTGTTTCGTGTAAGTTGGCAATTTTGTATTAAATATATCCAGGAATCTCTCCGATAACCCAATAATCTGCATGTCATTTTGCTCATTAAATTTTCATCGAATACATGGATGGTAAAAGAAACGACGTAATTATTTTCTGATAAAATAAAATACGTATAATTAAGGAAATAATGCTGGGGCCGTTGAGGATGGGCTCCGCACGGAAAGCTCGGCGTCGGACATCGGTGACCGACACAGTAACGAACCTGTCAATACGTCACCAATCGCTTGAACGTTGGAGCGTGTCCAGGAAGAGAACCTTCTCTCTGGCGCTCCTCGTGCACCGAGAGTCCTCGTATTGGTACGAAAGGAATCAATTTCACAAACTGTGCATCAGACTAAACGTCAATTTTGAAAGCTACATAATGCGAAATAATATGACGGATAAAATGACCAGAATTCGTGTTGGGATCGATCGTGACAACACGGTTATCTTGGCCTCCAAAATCCTATTTACGATATCAAAAACAACATACGTAAAACAGAAGCTGAAAATCCTTCCAACTAAATATATACAATTACTCCCACTTGTATGCGTATGCTATAATAATGATTCGCTATAAATGGGAAAAAAAATTTATTTTTATCGTTACAACGAATCACCATTATAGTGTTTAAATATTAGTAAGAGTGATGTATTTTTAAATATTCAAAATATACTAGTATGTTGTTGTAATATGCTGTTCATAATAAAGGACAAATAATTTTTAAAAACTGTGTAGTATCGTTTGAACCACACCATCTTACTATCTCGATAACTCAATACGAGAATGATTATTAAAAAATAGCATTCTATACCTTCGACTTACGTTTACACATGGAAAAACGTCCTTTTCAGTTTCACTCTACATCAAATTACAATCACCATGAAAACTAGTGATTATCCCATGTCTTTTAAAAATCAACTGTCCATATTCTGAGCTCCCCCGGCAATAAAAACCCACAGACGTGCTTTCGCGCAGAATCTCGTAGTTGATCGAGCGTATCTCGATCGCGTCTGATCCCCCCCGGTGACGCGTCTTAGCAACGCTCGATGATCTACGGTCGCAAAAACGACTGAAACGATATTTCACTTGGCACGAGGCGAAGTTCTCGGGTTCTATAGAAAAACTTCCGGGTTGATACTCACACAGTGAAATGATAGACGAAGCAGATCCAGCCGCCGGGATGTTCGAGGAACACGTACAACCTCTCCTGAAACGTCTTCCCCTTTTTATGATGGAACACGTACTTAGCTTTGAAGGCCTGGTCGATGGGTAGGTAGATCGGGTAATAGGGATCGGGTACGCCAGCTTGGTTCAGGCTAGCGGGCTCTACTTCCGCGGCGTTTATGTCGCTGTCGATGATGTCGTCCTTGCTCTTCTTCCGGCGATACTTCCTCTTCATCGGTGTGGGCACCCTTTTGTGGTGCGCCTCGCCGAACCGCGGCGAACGAAACCGCCTGAGAAAGGTGAAACGACGACTAGGGGACGGAGGCTCCTCCATTTGGGCGCCGTTGTCCTCCGTGTCCTCTGTCTCGCTGCCTGGCGTCTTCAGGGCCGTGTCCTCCGACTCGAGGCAGTGCTCGGCGACGAGCTCGTCTTCGCTGCCCTGGAGAGCAGCGTAGGCGGCCGCGGCGCTCGACCGCTTTTCCGTGAGCCTAGAGCATTGGTCCTTGCTTCGTGGAAGACTCTCACCTGGACATTTAGCCAGGATATTGCAGGGTTGCGTTTGGAGCGAAACGCGACGCCTCTCCTAGAGCGTAGCTTCCTAATTCGCGCCTAATTCGATCGTCCGTTTAACTAGTAAAACGTTGCAGGTGTCCCTTCGTTATCGTCAAATTCTTTTAACTAGTTTGGAAAATGACAAGAAATGATTCGTCTTTCATACTTTTCAAGATAGAAATGTTCAACTTACGAATCGTTACTGTAAATCGAATTTTGCTTGTAGCTACGATCAGCGCTACCAAAGGGTTTTCAAGATTTTTCATCCTTCAGTCGAACTAGAAACTATCTGATATTGAAAGTAACATTTTTGAATTTCACATACATTTCTCGTATACTATGCGTGCCTTTGATAGCGCTAATCTCGCTCGGATTTCATACCGAAAGTTTGTAAAATTGCAAAGTTTGACTCGAATCGCGACCGCTCTGTGAACAAAAATTAAGAAAGTTCCTCGTTAAAGAAAGGATCAAACGTCAAACTTTTAACGCGATTACACGTTCGTTTTAATTACGTAAAAATTGAGAAACGATTTGACACGATCGGTTTTTACAGCGGCGCTTGGAAATCGCGCGGATAATCGCTTAATAAGATTTGTAAGCCGAGTCTGCGAGGCTTCGAAATCCCGATTTCTTGGGTTGTACCGCGATCGTTACAACGTTCTATATTTTACCACGAGAAACGAACGTTCGATTACGCAAACATTTCTCTCGAAAAGGAGACGCAACGACGCGAGTTACGAAAGTTACATTCTCCGATTGCGTTTCATCTCTCGTTGCAACGCTATGTTTACCCAATCAAAACTTTTCCCTGAAAACGCTCTCAGCAGTTTACCGTGCACAATATTTCGGTTGTTTCGTCGGAATTCGTGATCCGGCAGATTCCGCGCGATAGCCGTTTTCACGGTTTACCGGCCGTTCGATTCTTCTAATTGGCTTCGGTCGAAACTGATACTGCTAGTCAGTTTCACGGGACAACGAGCAACGATTTGCTAGCTGTCCTCGAATACTGGTTGCGAACACGCCTGGCGATCCTCGATCCTCGAACCTTTTGTGCCGCGTGGTTTACGCGTCGCGTGTTTACCCTGGCTTCATTGTACGCCACCCCGGGCCGTGTAATCGGCCCTTTGTCGACCAGAATCGGCGAAACGATTCTCGCGCTACGATCCGTCCCTTTCTTGCCACGAATCGCGCACCATTTCTTGCCGAAGCATCGTCAACGGACGCGTCCAGCGGGATTCTATCGATAACGGGGACCAACGACACGACATCCCTGTCGAGTCGTATTGGCAGCTCGATGTGGCTTACGCGGTTTGAATTTTGTGTCGCGCGGACGATGGAATTTCTGGACAAGGAATGCAGATTTCCGATTCATCGACGAGAGTAACGCGAACGGATGATTCCGTATGAAAGCGTATCGACGTGTTTGGCCGAGCCACTTCGGTGTCAATAACGATGGAAGATTGTTCATGCGTGGTCTCTGTCGCGCCGTTGGTTTTGTTCCACGACTTAATAGAAAATTCTATAGCTTTTAATAGTTTCCGTTGTCCAGACGCGTCTGGTCTCGCGCCATTTTTCTATTTCGCATTAATCGTTTTACTATAATAAATCATATTGGGATTAGATGGTCGCTAAATATCGACCACGCGGTTTGCTGTTCCGCCGGGAACTATTTTAATCAGAGTATAATATTTAGAGTTTACTTTCATGTTCGGTGGCACTTTGCGTTAACCTCGAGAATCTATTTTACAGGAGGCAAAGATTATTACCATAAATGTACAATAAGTAACCGGAGGCACCTCTGGCTTTGTGCAACGTCGAGAACGAAAATTTTGCGAACGAGTAATTAGATTCTCGACAATGTTTCACGGATGAGGTTACGAAAGAAGTAATAACATGGTGTATCGATGTATCCTATATCGCGTAAACTCGCCTCTGTAATATCCGTATCAAGGAGTTTCAAACGAAAATAATTAACAAATGTTAATTTTCAATTTTAATTTTCAACTAAAGTCCCTAGCCTAGTTTACAGTCTGTTAGATCCCCTGCTCCTCTACAAATAACAATCGTATAATATAATTATAGCCGCAGATGGCCAGCCAGTTTTTAGAAAAAGTGTGGATAAAAGTTCGTGAAAATGTGTGCAATGGAATGCTTCGTGGCGTAGCAATTAACCTATATGGCTATAAACTTTTTGTCCCGGATTTTAATTCCGCCACGGGAATTCCTCTTTTTTAATATCACGCGTCGAGCGTTACAACTATTTTATGCAATATTTATTGCTGGTCAATTATTACGACGACAGTTTCTTGACAAGATAAAACTAAGTATACACGTTTATACATGTGCGTTTTATTCACGAAAAGTTGCCCGAATACGTCTGACTACGCAGTTTTCCTCAACTTTTATAGATACTTATCTCGAAATTGGTCGATCATCTACGGGGTATAATTATGGTTACGATCATCGTAGATCTAGATCTCTGCCGAATTTCATTAACCCTTTGACGGTGAATGTCGATCGATAAAAAGTAAAAGCATATTACGTTATAACGAGGCAACTACTATTTTATACCTTTCTTTTTTAAAGAAATTTTATGTAGTTTATTTTCTTATCACTTGAAATTCTATCTAGCTAAGAATTTTGCCCTATTCCTATTCTTTTCCAAAACGAATGACCTTTTCCTCGCAAATAATAAATCTCTTTTACCTTTCACACGTTTCGTCCATCTGCAAATCTTTTATTTACAGACGAAAATCTGATTCCCGTAGTAAAAACATTGGAACACCTACCAAAGGATTCCTTACAATGATTTTGTCAATAAATAAAAATATAAATTTCATACTGTATTATTTGTCAATAAATAAAAATATAAATTTCATACTGTATTATCACTCCATTTAAACCTGTTGAGCTCTTATAGAGACGATATTAATGTCCAGGCAATATTTCTCTATTGGAAACGTTCAAACTCGATTTTCTCGAACTGTTAATGCATCGCGAACCTGATGGAATCGGGAAATCAGTTCAAAAGAAAAACAGCCAAGAAAGCTGAAACTTTTTCATCGATGAGAAACTGATATTTGCCTCGCGAATACATCGAACCCTTCGGCAAACTCTGAAAGGCTAAAGGAACGATCAAACGAAACCGACAGAAGCTTCAAACGTTCCTTCAATTTACCATATATCTATAAACCACGTAAACCGGCCAAGTTGCTACGGTCTCCCGTCAAAGTCTGGCAACCTCGTGCACTTATTAAATTTAAATTTCAAGTACCAGCTCGTTTGCGAAGTTTGGCTTTCACGGTGTTCGTGTCCCCGGCATACAAATCGCGCAACACCGATGGCGGGAGAGGAAGAAACGTCGACCAACATAAATTCGACGAACGCGTGAGGTCTCTGACGAGAGATAAGAAAAGTTATACCAGCAAACGAAATTATCGTAGCGTGATTCTCCAAACAAGTTTCACCTTTCTTTACCGTCGGAATTCGGGTCACAAAGTTTCACCTTTCGACCGATACCGAAACGTTCGTCTAGCGTCGGTATCTCGAGAATTATTACGAAGGATGACGATGCACGCAATTTGCGCTACAATTTATTCCGAAATTGGGACAATTTGTCGAAAGCCAAGAAAAGGGGAAACAAATCATTCCCCGTGCCGCGAAAGCGTCTGCTCGTTGTACGCGCGCACAGAACTGACAAACTCTCGAGACCTTAATCAATCGACACCGTGATGGGAATAACACTTGTTACCAAAGAGGACACTTCGGATAATTGCCTTCGAATAACATGCCTTATAACTTCCAAGCCGTTGAGTTCTAGACCCATGTTTACCTACTAACGCTGTCGTGCTTAGTTTGACGAGTACTCTGCGTATCCAAAGTTTGGATAATCAATTGGAGAACACGCTCAACAGGACGATTCTAGAAACTGGGACGAATTCGAGCTCTTTTCTATGCGAACGCAAGACTGATACGAGGATTCAAAATCCTTTAACGATAAGATATACAGGGTATTCGGCCACCCCTGGGAAAAATTTTAATGGGGGATTCTAGAGGCCAAAATAAGACGAAAATCAAGAATATCAATTTCTTGACTGAGGCTTCGTTAAAAAGTTATTAACAATTAAATTCAAAAATTTCGAATCGTTTTGAAAAAATTATTTTTGGTTGCGGAGATCAGTTACAATCATTTTTGGTGAATACATATACCTCCGAAATCCTATCCACTTTCGAGGAAAAAAATCGGGTAAGTGCTGAAATTTTTCGGCGAAAATAAAAAATTCAAATCGTTCTAGAAAAATTATTTTCGGTTGCGGGGATCAATTACAATAATTTTTGGTGAATGGACCTACCCCCGAAATCTTGCGCATTTTCGAGAAAAAAATTCAGTACGGTCGGAACTTTAAACGTTAATAACTTTTTAACAAAGCCTCCATCAACAAATTCGTATTCTTGATTTTCGTCTTACTTTTGTCTCTAGAATCCCCCATTAAAATTTTTTTCAGGGGTGACCTGTATACTTTTTTCGTAAAAAATGTGCACTTCTCTATTGCACGATACCATGCGTTTTTTTAAGAAATTAAACTCGTCTGGAAGAGTATTCTTTAAATTAGGTTAATTAAACTACCATACTTTTCTATTTCGTTCCTTATACACAGTTACTCTCACTCATACATTATAATGGTGACTCGCTATAAATGGAAAGATCTTGTGTTTCTTGTGAATACTTTTCATTTATTTTGATATGTTACTTATATTTACAAAGTAGTTTTTTTTTGTTTTCGTAGTAATACCAATTATAAAATCGATAGAGAAGTATAATATAAACAGTATATATAATAATAATAATAACAATAACGTGGTGGTCTCAAGCGGTCACCCATTTTAGCCTGATCACGGCCAAAGCAGCTTAACATCGGTGATCGAACAAGAAATAGTGTTTCTAACGTGACACGACCGTCGACGAGTTTAGT